GAGACAGAACTAAAATCTTGTTATTCTGAATGCAATCCAATTATGAGTAGTAACTTCATAAAAGAATGTTTTGATGATCCCTGTTATCATTCAAATTGAAACTGCCTTGAAAAACGGGTTATGCTACATGCAGGGAATAAATTAATTTATTGTTGAACCTTTTTTTAGGAGTATCCTGACACACTCTATGACTGTTTAATGTGTAATCTTGACGTCATCTTCTAGAGTCCATCGGCCAATATTTCTTGATTTTTTGTAAGCAGTCAACATATATTAAGATGTAATTTTGATTGTACTTTGATTAATGATGAAACTACCACAGAACTCAAACCTGGTGAAGCTATTTTGGATTGGCCTACAAGAAAAAGAATAGCCTTAGGTGCAGCACGTGGGCTAGAATACCTGCATGAACATTGCAATCCTAAGATCATTCATCCGGATGTGAAGGCAGCTAATGTATTGTTGGATGAAGACTTTGAATCAATTGTTGGTGACTTTGGCCTAGCAAAGTTGGTGGATGTGAGACGGACTAATGTGACAACCCAAGTTCGTGGGACAATGGGCCATATAGCACCTGAATACTTGTCCACTGGAAAGTCATCAAAAAGAACAAATGTCTTTGGTTATGGGATTATGCTTCTGGAGCTTGTAACTGGTCAACGTGCAATTGACTTTTCACGCTTGGAAGAAGAAGATGATGTCTTACTGCTTGATCATGTAAGATAACTATGAAACATTACTCTCTTGGTTTTTGCAAGTCAGTTTATCTTTTTCCTTTGTTCCGAGATGCTTGTATGGCTCTATGGCGTTCATTCCTTCTCATGTGCTCTAAGAAACCTTATTATGTTTACACTTTAAATCGGCCTTCATATCTTTTTGTACTTGGTCAACCGTATCAAAGCTGACTTAGCAAATTAGTGAGTCAAATGTGCTTGAAAGGAATGGGTCGGCTTGGTGGTTCAATTACTATCCAAACCAAGGTTTTGAAAATTGGACCGAATTGGCTGGTCGAACCGATTAAACTAGTACCCGGTAGTATAAATGGTTCGGTTCTATCTTTTAAACCGTTTGAAGATCAAACCGTTTGAAGATCAAACCGTTTGAAAACCGATAAAAATCGTTGGAACCGCTCAAACCAAAAAACCGTTCGACTGGACGGTTCAATACTTGAGAACAAAAGCTTGAGAAATTTGTCCCCCATGAAGTTTGAACTTGCAACCTTGAAATCCTTTTAGTTTATTCCAACCCTTTGCCACCAGGACAGTGCACTCCGTTTGTTAATGGATGCTTGAAATTTTATTTAGTCTATTTTTAAAACCATAATTATTTAAAATTTGTTCATAAAGGACTCGAACTTGTGATCTTTGGTATGAAAAAGCAACCACCTACCATCGCACTCAATGGATATCTTGTGAAATACTTTACAAAATAATATATTTATACTATATTAAAGAACCGGTGGTTTTACTGGTTAAACTGGTTAAATCGGTCAAACCGTGAACCGGAGGTCAAAACGGTTTGACTTTCGGTTCGGGTTTAAAAACATTGATCCAAACCTTGGGAAAGAACTTTAATTTTATGAGAATGATTAGCACAACTGGAAAAGGGTGACGGTTTAAGTGTAGTATTTTGGAAGCATAGCTTCTCTGACGTGGGCTTTTGTCTTTTCATTCTTAAACAATGAAGGGAAAATTTGATGATCCCATTTCATTGATGTAATGGTGTAATTGACACCTTCTAAAAAGAATCTTTTTTTCTTGCACGATTCTAAATGGAATCGACATTATCTGTTCTGTTATGGCATTTTGGATTTTTTTGTTTTTCTTACTGGTGGTGGCATTCTGTTTTAATTTGTTTATGAAGGTCAAGAAGCTTGAAAGGGAGAAAAGGTTGGATGCTATTGTAGATCATAACCTCAATACTAAATATGACATCCAAGAGGTGGAGATGATGATTCAGGTCGCATTGCTCTGTACACAAGCATCACCAGAGGACCGTCCAGCAATGTCAGAGGTGGTGCGGATGCTGGAAGGAGAGGGCCTGGCTGAGAGGTGGGAAGAGTGGCAGCATATCGAAGTTACTCGTAGGCAAGAGTATGAGAGATTGCAGGGGAGATTTGACTTTGGAGAAGATTCAGTATATCACCAAGTTCCCATTGAATTATCTGGAGGAAGATGAGGTAACAAATTCCCCTGCGCATCCAAAATGCATGTGACATGCTTGCTCCTGGTCTTGCCATAACCATTCCTGGTTATGCCCATAACTAATAGGTGAAGAGAAGAACAAACAAGAAAATGTTTTCATATTTTGCATGATATATACATTGCTTGTTTGTAAGAGCCCTCTTTTTATGCCCTTATTTGTTCAATTAACGTCCTGTATTTATTTTTCTCAAAATACCTCCACATTTTCCTTTTATGATGGACATTGTTTCTTGTTGATCGATCCTGTTTGGGTTAGCCGTATTCCAGATTATCAAATTTAAAAGCTTAATCGAAGCAACTTTTAAAATGGTTAAATGTAATTATTTATCTACTAATTATTATTCTCTTTTCATTTTAGTCTAGAAAATTTAGTTTTTTTCAAAATCATCCATAAACTTTGAAAATTATTTCAAATTCATCTATCTCATAGACTTTCGGTAGTGTTTTTAATGGAATCCCATAGGATGTTTATGACACCAATGACTAAATTTAATTTTTTATCTACTAACTATTATTCTTTTTTTTATTTCAGTCTAAAATGCTTAGTTTTTTTCAAAAGCATCTATATAACTTTGAAAATCATTTCAAATTCATCTATTTAATAAACTTCTATTATTTTTTTAACAGAATCCCTTGGCATGCATATGCGGCACTAATTATGTGGCATATATAGTTTTGAAAAATTATACTTTTTTGTTAAATTTGTTCATCTTAATAATATTTTTACTTTTTCAGTGAGATTTTTTCTTTATTTTTAATTTTTTAATAAATTTATATGTTTTAATTTTGATTAACAACTAAAAAAATTATCATTGTCATTATTAGGATAAAATTATTTTATTTTTTTATTTAGTTCAAAAAATTAATTTTTATTTGTATTATTTCTTTTTCAAAATAACTTTTGTTTTTTTTTAAACTTTTTTTTTAAAATTTAAAATTTAAAAATAATTTATGTTTACTCATATCACCCTTAAAAAGAAATAAAAGATGAAGAGAAAGTTTTGTGATGGCATAATTAATTAAAGTAAATAGATAATAATAAAGTTAAAGTAAAAAAATATATTTATTTACCTAAAAAATAAAAAAAAATAATTTGAGACAAATTTAAAATCATAAAGCAATAATTATTTTGGAACAAATAGAGTAAAGTTAGAATGTACTCCTTATATCCCAGAATAATAAGTAGTTTTTTATTTAGAATTTATCTTAAAATGATAGTGATTTTTTTAACATTTTAAAGGAAATAAATTTTTTATTTCTACTCTAATTTTATGATTATATCTTAATCTTAATAATCTTTCTAATCATGAAAGAATAATAATAAGGAGGACAAAAATTTAAGATTAATGATGTGATATAAATTATATCATTAAAATAGTTAATTCATACAACATCACATATCCTAAAAAAAGAATCAATCATTAAATAATATAAGATTTATTTTTTTAATATTTTAAATAACATGACATAAGTTAAATTTTAGTCTCAAATTTTACTCCCAAATTTTGATCTTATTTATCATTATTCTTAAAAAGGTTCTTTATTTTTATTTCTTTTTTAAGGATAAAATATGTAATAATAGAAACTATTTCTAAATCTTTAATTTTAAATAAATTAAAAAATGTTTATTATTTTAAGATAGAGAAAATACATTTTTAAAATTTTTACATGCAAAAGATTTTTTTAATTTTAATTTGATAAAAATAATATTATAATATTAATTAATTAACAAATTAAGCTAACAATCTTAATTATTTATCATTAGTTTTGATTAATTATAATTTAGTCCATTTAAGGACTTAATTGAGTAAATTGTATTGTGGAGTGGTTTGAATATAAACTTTAATTGAAAATTTTGTGAAGCTTTTGAGGTTAAAGTGTCATTTCTCAAAACTGCATATGCCACATGATTGGTGCCACATAAGCATACCATGGGATTTCGTTAAAAATACTAACGGAAGTTTATGAGATAGATGAATTTGAAATGATTTTTAAAGTTTATAGATGATTTTGAAAGAAACTAAACTTTGTAAACTAAAATGAAAAGAGAGTAATAATTAGTAGATGAAAAATTAAATTTAACCCTTTTAAAATAGATAAAAACATTGAGACAGTAGAAAATCAAGGCGATTTGACATTTATTAGTACATTTAATTATGGATATTAAATATGTGAGAAATAAAGTGATTTTGATTTTATTTAATTTATTATATAATTATTATTAAATGTTTTAATATTTTTAATGTTAAGATATTTTGATTTTTAAAAAATTATTTTTCAATAAATTATATAGGTTGGTGCAAGGTTTTGAAAACCGGACCGGACCGGACGGTCGGACCGGTTGAACCGGTACCCGGTGATCTAAACGGTTCGGTTATACCTTTCGAACCGTTTAAACGGTTAAACCGTTTGAAACCGTTCGAACCGGTGAACCGTTTGAAACCGCTCAAACCGTTCAACCGGACGGTTCAATGTTTGGGCATAAAATCTTGATAAATTTGTGTCCACCGGGATTTGAACTTGCAACCTTAAAGTCTTTGGGTTGACCTTTTGCCACCAGGACAATGCAATGGTTTAATTAATGAGTGCTTGGACTTTTATTTAACCCATATAAATCGCAAAGATTTTAACCTTATTACTGATTACAAGCTTGAGGTTCGAACATGGAGAAGCTTGAGGTTCGAACACTTGGTCTCCATGTTGTAGGACAACGGCTTTTCCACTTGTACACAATGTTCTTTTGTCATTTTAATGCTTTACAATATACTTATTCTACTTTAAAGCACAATTATATTAAAATTTGTTATTGGGAGGACTTGAACTCCGAATCTCCCTTATAGAAGGTCAGCCATCTACCAGTGCAACCCACCCACACCGTGTGATATCTGTTGCAAAATCATATATTTATAGTATTTCATTAAGCCGGCGGTTTTACCGGTTAAACCGGTTGAACCGTTCAAACCGCGAACCAGAGGTCAAAACGGTTTGACCTCCGGTTCGGGTTTGAAAACATTGGGTTGGTGTTTCGTCTTTGAAGAATTTAAATTTAAAGTTAAGGGATATAAATGAGTTGAGTAATTTGTGAGTTATTTTACGTCTTAGAATAAGATAAAGGACATCTTGATAGAAAAAAATATAAATTAAATATAAAAAAGTTATTTAATTTTTATTAATTAATTTTAAATTAAATATAAATTATATATCAAAACTCACCTGTCAAAATCTTACACGTTTTCCCTACTGAAGCAGCCTTCTATTTTTCAAACGAAATTAAAAATATTTTATTAAAAACGATGTGCACGTTTTTCTTTTCATCTTTTGGGAAAAAACTAGTAGAAATTGAGGTTTGATGGGGTTTTTTACGAGCCTTTTTAGTTAGTATTTTATTTTAAAATATAAAATATATGGTT